ATTTACTAGCTAATCTTAAATGACTGTTCAGTAAAGAAATGAAGCCCAACAATCATGTTTTACAGTCCTGTGGTCTCAGCCTCAGATACTTATCAAATCACACAAAGCTCATGTAGAAACAAATGTATAAAATGTGTTCTCCTTTATTTCTGTCAAACAAAGCTGTATGAAACGTTTCCAGCTGTTAGTATCATGGTTGCTAGGCAACCTGGGCAGCACAACGGAGGCTAGACCGTCCCATTTCACAACCTTACAAGCCTCGCACTTCCGGCCTCAGCAGTCTTTGAGTACGGCCCTTGAGGACCGTTAAGGCTGCGTACTTTAAGGCTGCAGACCCTGAATTGGGATACAGCCAGGGATTCTAAATGTTATATTGACCTCTGTCCTGTGAACTATGACCTCACGTTTGCATTTCAGAGCTGCCTTTCTTTCAAGATGAGCCAAAACGTCTTCTATTTGAGAGAAATGATTGAGAGAATGAGCTGCATAGTTTGTTAGAAGTATACTTCTATACAAATCACCACAAATGTCCTAAGGTACATTTAAAAGAACAGCTAAAACTATGTAAATTTGTAGAAAATACAAAAGTGTTCAACTTTCTGACCTATCAGAAGTTTCTCTTGCCGTGCTTCTTGTCATAAAACTGTTATTCTGCAATCTGTTGAACTTTTGTTGACTTTTTGGGGCCTTTATGTGGACAAAAATGTCATTAAACAACGTACATAACATCCAGTTGCTGATATGATCGCTGGTTCCCAGTGTGGCCCCGCCCGTGTGTGTTGACAGAAACACAAATATGTAACCAGCCAATCACGGAGCAGCAATTCAGTGCATTTAGGCACGTAAACACGATGAAGATGACCTGCTGAAGTTTAAACTGAACAGCAGGATTGAGATAAAAGTGATTTAAGTGACTCTACAATACACACAGGGTCTTCTTGATTGCAGAAAATTGGAAAAATGTTGCCTGCTCAGCTTTGGGATGTGGTGGAATGGGAGATTCGCATTGTGGATGTTCAGCAGACAAATCTGCAGCAGCTGTTTGATGCTGTCGTGTCAGAATGATCCAAAAATGATGTTTCCAGCACCTTGCTGAATCTTTTCCACAAAGAATTAATGAAGCTCTGGAAGAAATAGAGGTCCAGCCTGGTCATGCCCATGTTCCTGATGACCAAAATACCAGAATTTAGACTTAAAACCATTTGCCAACTGACCAACACCACTACATTGATCATTGTTTGAATTTTTGGCATTTTAAAACATTTGAAAATGAATCTCAAATCTGATATGTTCTAGTTTTTCAACTGTACAGAAACTCCAGCAGAAACCAACAAGCCCAACAGGGTCCCTATATGATGATACTAGAAAGCTTCATCTCTGCTTCAGCCATTAAATGCATGCTTTAATAACAGATATGGTTTGGAAGGAAAGAGTTGGCATTTGTGTAAGTTTGGAAGATTTCCCTGCAATATTGTAATTATTTAAGTTTTAATTAAAGGCCAATTAAAGGCTTTCTTTGTTTAGCTTTGAGCCAGTTTAACCATGTGTGAAGTTTCCAGCTTTTTCAAATACCAATTAAAAAGTAGAAAATATAGAGAAGTGTGGCAGGTCACAGAGAAATTGGAAAGCAGAAACTTGTGGCCAACCTTAACCACAGAATAAATTAAAAGAGGAGATATGTGAAAAAAAATTTTTTTTTATCTTTTGACGTTTTTTATTAAACCTCAAGCCTGTGCATGTCAGTGCTGAGTAATTTTCCAATGATAGAAGTCAGGATATGAATTTTATTTTGCAGCTTCGGAGTCTGTTAAAGGAGAAAAGGCTGCCCTGGTCTGCTCACCCACTTGAAGAATTTCATTATCACTGTCATACAGAGCCTTACTGACTGGTGAGGGCATGAGTGCTGCTTCCAGCAGCTTGATAGGAATTCATTTTCAGGGAACATCAGGATTATATCATTTTCTGGCGTAAAACCAGTCAGAGCTCTGAACTTTTTAAATATAATCCCTTTCTGAGTGCAAGGAACAATTTAACCACTTTGTCTCATTTTGAACCCAAACTGCTGCAGAGTGGAGCAAATTAAAATGAAAGATTTTAACCAAACTGAGCCTCACGTGTGAGAGAAATGTTATAATATGCGAGACAGTAAACTGGCTTAGAATCTGTCGATTTATAAACTGACCAAATGTTTACCAAACTGCCAAAAGATTATCAGCATATTCTATTTTGTAAGTTATGATCAAGATCTTATTTAAAGAGTTTAGAAATGCTTCATGACTTCACTGATTCAATCACTGTCTGTGTTTGCAAAATATTTTTCCAGTGGTGGAATGTAACAAAGTATATTTACTCAGGTGTTTTACTGATATGCAGTTCTGATGTTATGTTCTGCTCCTTTTCTATTTTGAGTGAGAATGTTGTGTTTTGTACTCCGTGTTATAGTTTTAAAATTTAAGTTACTCATTTTTATGCTGATGTTAAAAATTTATAAATAGATAGATAGAAGGTAAAACTAACCAGCAGTAAGTCCGGTCATTAAAGTCATCTCCAGCTGCATCTTTAGAGTGATGGCAACATATTAACCTTTATGTTTAGCGCCTTAACATTTTTATGCTAAAACTTTTGCCGTGTTTGGCAACACTTTGTATAATTATGATTATTATTTGAGGAAAAGTCTAAACATGACTTGGACCAAACTGTTTTTTCACCGGAGGCTGCAGAGATTTGGATTTTTTTTTTCATACCAGAAAATCTCACAGAAAAAAGAAAAATTTCGATTTTAGTTTGAAAATGTGGCTGAAATATCTTCAGGTCTGCAGTTACTGCCTGTGCGAAGCTTTGGCTCACATGCCTTAAATTTCTTTGCACTGAAGAAATGTATCTGTGGGTTTGTTGATGGTTTGCTCTTCAACTGTAATTTCTTCTTCTTCTTTAAGTACTTTCATTATGAGTACACTTTGTTTTATGAGGGTGCTTCATTTCGCACATTTTTCAATATGTCACATTTTTTAATCTGCACCATCGGATGATCTAAGAAAAATGAGCCCTTAGCATCTGTTGTAATATATGTAGTGCACATTGTTCTTGTTAAATAAACCCAAATCAACTACATTAATTGATTAATTTTAAAAAATTGTTCCTTGTAAAAAAAAGTTATTGAGCACTGAAGCACGTTTAAATTATTGCGCAAAATAACATCTGCATGCGGGCACGAGGCTAAACACGTGCCTACCAATAGCAATATTACATTTGGATTTATAGGCTTTGCATTGTGATTTTTATTTAACTGGAGCCGCCAATAATTGAACCAAAGACATCTTAATTAAAGAAAATTTGCTCTTTAGCATTCTTTTAATTCCCTTAAAATCCCTTCCAGGGAAGGTGGAACGTCTAAAGTTGCTACAAAGCAGAAAATTTGACTGCAGGCCGGGGTGGACAAGTGCGCTAATTTGTAGATGAGCGCAAAGCATTTTTGCCTCATATGTTGAGGGGATGTGCCTCTTTGTGGCTCAAAGGTGAACACATGTCTCACCAGAAAAGATGTGGCTCAAACGGAGACACGTGGACGTGTGTACAGGCTGAAATAACAGTGTTACAGGGGAATACGTGAGCTGTTAGCTTCTGTTTATTCTCACAAGAAGTTGTGATTCAATTTAAATTAAATTAAAAATCTGCATTCGGCCTTTAGCTATGTCATTTCAAACCTGTGAAGTTCGCTAAATTTACTTAAACCTCAGTCTGCCCATTCGCTTTACTCACACTTTGCCACAAGTGTGATTTATATCTTTAGTAAGGTTCTGGTCCTGTCAGCAGGTCACTTACCGTCCCAGGAGAATGTCTCATCCCACACCGACCACATTTGCACCGTGAAGAAAGGCGCCCAGCACACCACGTACGCCACCACGATCACAAAGGTCATCTTGACCGTGCGTAATTTGGCACGGGAGATGGTGCTGACGCTGCTCACCGAGCTCCGGCTCAGCATCCCGCTTTTGCTGGCCTCCGCGCTCTTTCTCCTCTGGGTTTTGTATCTGAGGTTCCTCCAGATCGTACGGCAGATAAATCCGTAGCAGAACACGAGCACGGCCACGGGCACCACGAAGATCCCGACCGTGATCCAGGTGATGTACGCGCGAACCCCCCACGGCTCCACGAAGTGCCCCCAGCAGTCGTAGACGGCTGAGCCGGGGCGCACCTCGCTCAGGGAGAAGATGCAGTACTGTGGGGTGCTGAGGACCAGACTGCACGCCCAGGTGGAGCCGATCATGATATAGGCGCGCTGCGTGGGCTGCTGAAGCGTCTGCAGCGGGTGGCAGATGGCGATATAGCGGTCCACGGTCATCATCACCATCATGTAGGTGGAGGCGAACATGCCCAGCACCTGCAGGTGCTTCACGATGCGGCACAAGAAGTCCGGCCCATAGAAGCGGAACGTGACCTCCCAGCAGAGCTGCGGCAGCACCTGGAAGAAGGCCACCACCAGGTCAGCCAGGCACAGGTGCTTCATAAACAGGTGCATGCGCGACGGTTTCCGCCGGGCTCGGTACATGGCGAGCAGCACGCTCAGGTTGCCCACCACCGCCGCCACGAACGCCAGGCTCAGCACGGTGATCTCGAGCTTGGCCACCTCCTCGTTACGTCCGAACGGGTCGGTGTCGTTTCTCTTCAGCTGCTGCGTAAAGTTAGAGCTATCGGTGCAGTTTTGGTGCGTGAAATTGCAGGAGCTCACCGAGGGGAGCGGCATGGTCACCGTTTCTACTCCGGGCGCATGGAGGTGTCTGCGCGCTTGTGCGTAACCGTAACCCTCTTCCAGCGTGTACGGGACTATTGAGAAGAATTCACGGGTTAAAAATCCAGAAGGGATCCATCTGTTTCCCTGCGAGGTGCACAAAAACTCCAACCTGAATCCGAGCAGCAGATCTAGCCCCTTTTAAAGTACACTGCCCCCGAGAACCAGCCCTCTGCATGCCTCACTGTATCCAAAGCCCCACACACGCGCACTTCATCACCTTACTCCCTCCCACCAGCTCCATGCTTAGGATAAAGTGAAAGGGGGGGAGTAAAAGACGAACATAGAGGACAAAATAAAAACTGAAAATACCAGATAAAAAAAAAGAAAGAACGATTATTTATTTAGTCTTTAAAAAATTACTTTCAAGATCGACTTTTTTTTTTTTTTGTAAATGTCACTATAATAATTTGTCAGTTTCAGTTTTTGAACTTCATCTCTGACATTTTTGGAAAAGTAACAAAAGCCACAAAATTCCAGTTCTGGAAGTCAGAAACTTTTCCTAAGCTACAAATATGTGAAATCAGAAGATCATAACTGCTGCTGCTGTCTTGTGACCCAGAATATTTTATTGTTACTCTCAAAATTTTTCCCATTTGCCCTGCTGTGAACCCCTTTTCCAGTAAATTAAAATTACATAATGGAAATTTAAAATGTCACATCTCAGGGTGCACACTGGACACCACAGGCCATATTATTGGAGAGAGAATCACAATGATCATGAGCAAGACTCTGGCAACAGTGGGGAGGAAAAACACTATTTAACAGGAAGAGACCGGTGACCTGTCCAGGATAATTTTATTACCAAAATCAAAGGTATATTTATATTTTCTCATCATAACATAATGATATGTTTGGTCAAACACAGCAGTATTTTGTGTTTTAAATATCAGTGGAGCAACATGGGGACTACAGCTCTGCCTTTGAGACCATCCCACCCAGTAGACTGCGCCAAGATGTCTGACCAGGATCAACACTGCGCATCTCACATCCCATAACACAACAAAAAAGACAAGAGAAATGATTATTCACTTTGGGAGGAAGCAGAATCTCCGTGTGTAACCGGTGTGTCCCTGCACACGGCAAACACGTTCCACATATTCACAGCATCTAGTAAAAACAGGCGTAATGATGACAATAATGAACTAAAACACACAATCAGAAACATCAGGGTGGAGAAAGATATAATTAGTGTTAGAAAAGAAATGACACTGACCTCTGCTACAGAGGAATTGCAGAAAAGGAGAGAGGCCAAACGGGTACCACAAAATTAGGGTTGCACCAAAGAAGAAGAAAAGGATGAGGAGGGGCTGATAATGAGCTGATAATGAAGATAACTACAGGCTTGGAGGTCTTAGAAGTCTGGCATACCACAAACAGTTTGGGGTTTAGAACACATTTTGTATAATTATAAGAATATGTCATTTATGACCCAGTTACACACACATCCTGATACATCAATGGGGAGAAGGTGGAGAAGGTGGAGAAGGTGTCCACACTTCCTGAGAGTGCTCAGGAAGGTGAACCTCACACAGCATCTCTTGGTGTCTTTCTACTGGTGCTCCACTGAAATTGTCCTCACTCAGCTCTGCAAAAAATGATAAAAACATCAGAAAACACCAGCTGGCTGCCCTGGAGACATGTTCAGCATCCTGGAAGACTCAG